AGGTTCTTTGCAACAGGTTTAATGTGATTTACTAGGGAACCAGCAGATGGCAGTTTTGTTTGCTATCTGCTGGGATCAAGTCCAGGATTTCTGTTTTGTCTGAGTTCAGCTGGAGGAAATTATTTGACATCCATTTTTTAACTTCACAAAGGCAGTTGTTAAGTGAACTCAGCATTCCAGGGTCTGTGGATCTGACGGGCAAGTATGTGTGTCATCAGCATAAATATGAAAAAAATACCATGTTTATGGATAATATCCAAGGGGAAGCAGATACAAGGAAAACAAAATGGGTCCTAAGACACCCCTGAGGCACACCATATTTAACTGGACAGAACGAAGAGACATAGTGTTTACAGACACGGAAAACTTCTATTGACAGGTAGGATGAAAACCATTCTAGTACCAGAGATCCCCACCCAGTGCCTCAGTCTGTCCAACATGATGTTGTGATCAATGGTGTCAAAAGCAGCACCAGGAGTACCAGGACTGAGCACATGCCTTCATCAGCAGACATTAAAAGGTCATTGGTGACTTTAAGCAGGGCAGTCTCAGTGCTGTGGTACTTCCTAAAACCAGACTGAAACTTTTCAAATAATTGTTATTTTCCAGCACAGTGAGCAGCTGTTTGGACACAATTCTTTCTAGAATCTTTGCAATAAAAGGCAGTTTAGAAATTGGTCTAAAATTTTCATGGAGAGAGGGATCTAAACCAAGGTTTCTTTAAAAGTGGGTTCACGCAAGCGTTTTAAAATAATCAGGGACACACCAGTAGATAGGGAGCTGTTAAAAACAGAGATCAAATGGGGCCCAACAGAATCCATTACTTTCAGTAAAAACTTTGTACGTATTACATCAAGTGGGCTGGAAGACACTCTCATTTGTGATACTGTTTTTAAAAGCTCAGACAAGTCGATGGGATAAAACTGGTTAAAACTTTCTTGTTGCTGGTGAGGAACCTCTGAGTAAGAGGCCGCGGGGGTAATAGAGGCTCTTATTGACACCACCTTATTGGTAAAATAAGATAAAAACAGTTCACAGTCATCATTACTTCCAGCTGAGGCACAAGGAGGGGTTGGGTTTACCAGCTGATCCACAGTCTTAAACAGAAACCTGGGATTGTGTTTATGTGTAGTAATGAGTTCAGAAAAATAGTGTGTTCTCGCATCCTTAACCATGTTATTGTAGTTAATTAATAAATCCTTCAGACTGAGGTAATGGACTTGGAGACTGGATTTTTTCCATCTGCGCTCTGCTTTCCTGCATTCCCTTTTTAGGCTGCGAATGCTGTCATTTATCCAGGGTTGCTTACTAGCTTTAGATGTAGGCCTAACCTTTAGAGGAGCAGTAATATTTAGTGACGACAAGCAGATATGATTGAAGTGATCGACCAGATTGTTGGTGTGGAATCAGACAGGTGTTGGCTTTGGCTCTGAAAGAATGTGCAAAACTTTGAAACACTTTGTTCATTGAAGATGCGAGAACACACGGAGCTTGGTGAGGCGGCATGAGTAACAGGCGAATCGCAGCTAAAAACAATACATCTGTGGTCAGATATGGTCATGTCCACTAATTCCACCGAGGAAATGCTGACACCCAGGGTAAAAACCAAGTCCAGTGTATGACCACAGTTATGTGTTTGCCCTTTTGTTATGAGTTGTAGTTTTTCCCTGTGGGTTTGAGTTTTTGCCATTGTTTCATATATCTATTTGCCTGTTTTTCTCGTTCCTTGTCCTTAGTAGTTTATGTCGTCTTTTATCTTAGCTCTTGGTCCTGTGTTTCAGTTCGTTGTCCTTGTTCCCAGTCCTGTACCTTAGTTCATGTTAAGTGTTCACTCTGGTCTGTTTTGTGTTCAGTGACCTGTGTTCCGTCTCTTCCCCCGGTTGTCACTCTGCCTGCATGTCAGTCTCTCTGTTTCCCTCTGCTCACTGTCTCTCTCTCTCTCTCTCTGCCTGCCTCGTTAGTCTAATGTCTGTACCTGTGTTGCTCCCGCCCTGCTCATTAGTCCCTGTGTATATATACCTGGTGTTTCTGTCTTGTCCTTGTCGGATCATTGTATGTTGTCACCTTGAGTTGCAGTGTGTGTTTCTTGTCGCGTCTCCATGTTTCCCTGCTCGTTTTGGTTTTCTGTTGGACAATCTTTGTTTTGGACTTAGTCTTTCAGCCACTCGGTTTATAAGTGTGCTCACCTTTTGTTTAATTAAAACCCTCGAACTATACCTGCTCCATTCTGTGTCCTGCGTTTGGGTCCTCCAACCTGCTTCACCACACCACTTACCGTGACACCTTTGACATGTTGTTTGAAGTTAAAAGAAGTGGCCATATTTAAAAAGTCAGTTGCAATAACATTTGTGAGGTCATCACCATGAATATTAAAATCACCACAGAGAACAATTCTGTCATAATTAAAGTAGATAAAAATTCAGGAAGGTTCCTCCAGGCGGTTTTGGGGGGCGATAAAATATAACAAATATTATAGGTTGAAGCTCTCCAACTTTAAGAGTGAGAACATCAAAGGAGTTAAATTCATCACAGCGTACTTGATGACATTCAGTTAAAAACATAAAATCTAGATTTGCAGACAGGATAAAATCATTTAAGATAAAAGTCTTACTTGAAAGTGATCTCACATTGAAGAGAGCCATTTTAAATGAGTTTGTTTTGGGTGCTGGAGTTGGTGCAGTTGTCCTAATTTTTAGAGAGATTTAGAGATTACAATTATTTCTGTGTAGGATGTGCACATTTCGGTTTAATGGTCTATGCGTGATGATGACAGGAATAGAAGTCTGTGGAACAGCGCTGGAAGCAGATGGCTTTACATGCCAGTAGGTGGAGAGAGTTGTTTGTGGCAGTGAGGCAGAGTTCTGTTCAGTGACTGGTGGCGTGTCCAGGTGTGCTAAGTCATGAGTGGACTGCACTACATGCTGTATGTGAGCAGCTAACTTTTCTGAGCCCCGTTTGTTTGGGTGAAGTTCGTCTGTCTTAAAAAGAGACTTTCTTATCCGTCGAAAGAGATACGTATCAGGGAGATTTGAAGCCGCAGGTGCATCCGCTGGATGGACCGGAGCGTCGTCAGACAGGGCTGCATAGCGGTTGGAGAGGCCGATGTGCGGAGGAGGGGCAGCCCCGTCCGAGCCTCTCTTGCAGCTACGGACCATCACTTCAGCCCAGGTTGACTGATGCTTCGGAATCAAGCAAGAGGAAAGCCATGGAAGGGTAGAGGGGTCCCATAGCATGGTGTCCTGGATGTTAGCGGTTGCGCAAAGAGAAACAATCTGTTTGGCTTGTACTGAAGCCACATCCATAAAGCCAGTCAGCAGGGAATCTTTCTCTTTGAGTTCCTTTGAAAGTCGTTGGATGTCTTCCATAAGGTCAGCAATCTTTTTGTTCGCTTTCTTAAGGAGTGTGCTGTCCTCATGTGGCAGAGTTATCTCAGCTAGCATAGTCACCAGAGCTTTGTTGTGGTCAGTAGCGTTGATGGAGTTTTTACGGTCATCTAACTTAAAATACATGTCGGATAACTAAAATCCTTAACCCACATAAAACTTAAGTTAAAAAGTTAAGTTAAATAAAAAGGATATAAAAAATGTAACAAAAAAGTGTGGATTAAAACTGGATAAGAGTCCGGTTTAAGATGGAGCTTCTGACAGGTGGCTACAGACGCCAACGCATGCGCAGAGTGCAAATTACGTCAGCGATCTTGTAGTATGTAGGTTTCTTCCAAATACACTGACAGTAAACCTACACACAACTAGCAGGACAAATACTGGGACTATTGAGACCTCATGTCTGCTTCGGCTAAACTTTAAACAGCATTTTGCAGAGACAGGAGAGGTGACTACAGGGACCAATGATTCTTTCAGCGCTCATGCTTTTTGTGACGTGCTGTGATTTTGGTTGTTTGGTGTTTTTTGCTGTGCTTACCGCTTTAATGGATTTTGGAGTAATTCACCATGTAAATGTCTGTATTTTCACTCAGTGTCATAGTCACTACACATTTTCTCTCTTACCATGTTGGGAACCTGCAGCACAGCTTATTAAGTGGAGCAGATGGATCAGATAAATAATGACTAGCTATTTTATGTTATAACTGTTCTATTTCTATATATGTTCTCCTCCAGATGCTCCAAAGCTTCCCTCTGTGTCAGTGAGTCCCTCTGCTGAGATAGTGGAGGGCAGTTTGACTCTGACCTGTAGCAGTGATGCTAACCCAGCAGCTAATTATACCTGGTACAAGGAGAATGAAGACTCACCAAAAGCATCAGGACAGAACTTCACCATCACTGACTTCAGAGCTGAACACAGTGGGATTTTATTACTGTGAAGCCCAGAACAGAAGAGGACGTCATAACTCCACCTTACATCTGATTTTTGTGGCAGGCACGTTTCTCCTTGCCACTAATTGGCTGATTAATAGAGCATCACCTGGCAAACTGATCCAGCACAGTTTATCTAATAACTTTCTATCTCCATTTCTAGAGAAATCATCAGTGATAAGAATTATCAAGTTGATTCTGGTGGTTGTGATGCCAATTGCTCTACTTCTGTTTTGTCTGAGGTGAAACTATAAGAATGAATCAGTTCCATCACTGACATTTACTATGAATATTTACTTTCATAGTTTTGGAGTTATCAATTAAACTTTTTATTTATTTGTTTTTTGATTCAATTCAGGAAGAAGAAAACTCTGAGCTCCACTGCTGAACCAAATGAACAGATAGAGACTATAGAGGTGAGAAAGCTGTTGGGCCACAGTGACAAAACTTACTCTGGGTTATAATTTGCTGGCTTATACATTCATTTTAAAATAAAACCTAATTGCTCTAATTCCATTTATGAAGGCTTTAACTCTGATCTTGTTTTCCCTTCCCGTCAGTTGATGTCTGGTCCTGATTGTACCAACGCCTCAGCCTTGAACCAAAACTGTATGTGACTTTCTTCAGATGGAATCAAACCAGAGGGGACTCACCTGGATCGGAACAAAGAAAAGCCACTGAAGTAGTCCAGTGTAGAACGAGGGAAGGTGGAGGAAGTGGATACATTTACCTTCAAGGAACGTTTTCATTTTTAGTTTTTATTAGCAGCAGCATATATTTTTACCCGTGCAGGTACATTACATACGCTCAGTATTTAACTCAGTATGTAAAATATTATTTAAAGTTTTAATGTAATAAATAGTTTTTAAGAAATACTGGTTGCCCTTTCACGTCACACCTGTCCTGGTAATGAAAGCCAATAAAGTCTGTTCAAAACAAACACATTGAACAGGACATATCTCACAGCATGTACTGTCTGTATTTAAACACTGAAATCAAACAGAAGCCCAGCTCTGTCACACTTTGCAAGTGTTTCATTTTCAAATTGTTGCAGCCAGCTTCCACAACAACTCTGCAGTTTGATCATCATTTCAGTTTCCTCTCACTGCTGTAGAGGGTGACAGTGTGCAGGAAGTTTTAGATTTCAGCTTTAAACAAACTGCTTGTGTTTATTATTCAGAACAAAGTTTGTATTTATCAGTAATCAACAAAAATACAATTTCTCAAATGTTTGTAGGGGTCAGGGTAATTTCTTTGGTTTAAAAAACAGTTTCAAAAATACACCTATCAGCCGTAATGTTATGACCACTTACAGGTGATGCGAATAACACCGATTATCTCGTTACCATGGCACCTGTCAGTGGGTGTGATATATCAGGCAGCAGGTAAACACTGTGTCTCATAGTTGATGTGCTACAAGCAGGAAAAATTGGCTGTGTAACGCCTCATGTCTCTGAACAGTGCTGCTGAAAATGACATGATGTGGACGAGTTTCTTAAGTGTTAAATATATATAATATAATGGCGGTTTTATTCGTCCGCTTTATTATACACTGTACTTAGACTTTACAAATTCTAACTTTTTGTGTCATGATTATACATAAGATCAATCCAGGTTGTTGAGGGACTTTCCTTGCTCTGTAACGTCACAAAACATTAACAATGACTTTGATGTGTCATTATCACACTGTCTGAGGCCAAACCATTCTGAGTTACAGTACTTTGTATGAGATCATTAGAATAAGAAATCCAATTGTATGGTCTGGCTTAGTGTTTATAGATGTGACCTCTTTTTTGAACATGTATTTCTTATGTGGGGACTAGGCCTGAAGGTTAATCATCAAGTTCACCTTGTCAGCTTTTGTATTTGACCTGTGAGATCTCTTAATACAGTCTCCAGACTCTACAGGCATCAATGCAACACATTCTTTTCATGTCTGAAAGTTTTCTTCTTGTAGATGTTAATTAGTCATTACAAACTGAATAAGAGCTGCATGTTATCATCACAAACACTGAGTATTGGGAATGTATTCTTTGTATCCAATGGATTTTTGTTATTTTAAGTAATAAGAACTATATTTTGCATCCATATTTTTATAATTTGATAGTTCAAAGATCCTGCACACCTGTATGGGTATGTAAGGCCTTCAATGAATAATAAAGTCTCTACTACTGACTGACAGTTGATGATTAGCTGCCACAGCTTCACTAAGGACCTATTTCCTCGTTTCTTCTTTCCTTGCATGTTTTCCTTGCGACAACTTCCACCAGCTTTGTGTCAAGGCCTGCCCCTACTCTCCCCCTACTCTGTCTCCGATTGGCAACAAGAACAATCCAATCAGAGCTGTCAGAAAGCTGGTGGGGGGGGAATGACGCTTTCTTCGCGTCTCTCCATGCATCTAACATGGGAAAAACTGAGACGCAATGAAAAGATGCAAAAGATCAGAATCAGAATCAGAACCAGTTTTATTCCCCAGGTATGTGTACACATCTGAGGAATTTGACTTTGGATTGTACATTGCTCACAATTTGCTTACTCATAAAATAATACAATAACAGAATAATAAAATCAGACACAGGCTACAGTATAGAGAACACAGATATACACACTATAAACAGATACAAAAACAGTATAGACACATTGACAAATAGTGCAGTGAGCAGAGTGCAAAGGATCCAGGAGTAAACTTGTTATTATCATTAATTATGTACATGTCGGAAGTGGGTTTGATATGCAGGTACACATACATGCATACATGTACACAGTGCGATGGAGCACAGTGCAAAGGATACTGGAATAAATAAGTACATATTTTGTGCAAGTATTATGAACGTGAGGAAGCTGGGTGCACAGGAATTGTTCTGACACTATGAGTCAGAAATCAGCTGTTCATCTGAGTGATGGCTTGTGGGAAGAAACTGTTCCTGAGTCTGTTGGTTTTGGTGTAGCGCCTACCAGAGGGGAGAAGTTGGAACAGCTTGTGTCCGGGGTGAGATGGATCTGCAGTGATGTTTCCTGCCCGTTTCTTGACTATATGGAAATGTATAAATCCTGAATGGGGGGCAGGTTGGCACCGATGATCTTTTCTGCAGCCCTGACTCTCCGTTGTAGTCTGCCCCTGTCCTTTTTGGTGGCAGATCCAAACCAGACAGTGATGGAGGTGGTGCAGAGGACAGACTGGATGATGGCTGTGTAGAAGTGGATCAGCAGCTCCGTAGGCAGGTTGAGCTTCCTGAGCTGGCGCATCCTCTGCTGGGCCTTCTTGATGATGGTGTCAGTGTTGGGTTTTCTTTGTCCAATTAGCCACCACCCTTTTCCTGTCTACGTGACTACTGTCACATAGCTTGATCATTCTTTTGGGCCAGAGATTCAGTTGTGCCAGAGATGTCCTTGTTTGGCCATTTCCTTTCCCCTTGCTGACCCTTCTCTTCCAATGACTCATAGTCATAAGACCGTTACACCCATCTCAGTATTTCACAGTCAACTCAACATTTCTCAACATGTTCCTTCACTTCTCTTATTCTTTACACACACACATTTTAATCAATACTATAGAAATCATGATCTTCTTCATTTCATTTTTAGTTAATCATATTCTTTTCATTTCTTAGTTGATTACATTACGGTTGTTACATCAATACACTACATGTGGTACTTCTACACAATCAGTTGGAAAGTACCTGTACCTACAGTTCCATGGCTGTAGTGAGCCATTGTTTGGTTATCATAGAGCGCTGGGATCTCAACCTATTTTAGTCCAATATTTAGATGTCTGTTGTTGTTTGAAGAAAGCTCCAGTCCTACAAGCAGTGTGTCTTACCTGAAGAAGAAGTCTACCAGCATGTCCGGCAACCAGAAGTACCGAAGGTGTGTTTTTCCTTGCCCTTGGTACATCACGGATGGAGATTCTCATGAGATGTGTGTCTCATGTTTGGGGATGGAGCACGCCCGGGCAGCTCTCGAGGGGGCTGCCTGTGGCCATTGTGAAGCCCTTTCCGTGCGGGTACTGAGGTCCCGCATGGCTCTCTTTTCCGAGGATGGCCGGATGTGTTCTCCCCGAGGTGTGGGCCCTGCGGTCGCTGAGGCAGCCCGGCGGCTTCACTCATGTTGTTCACAGCGTGATCTGTCGGAGGATTTCGGGACAGCTGAGGCTTTTTCCCGACCTTCATCCGCTGGCTCCGACGCTTCCTTTCGGGAGCCCGTTCTCGGCTTCTCCCACTCGCTGTTTGGATCCGGAGACGCTGTAGCAACGTGCTCAGCGTAGTGGACGATGACTTCCAGATGTCGGGGCGGCGTCATCTGCTGGAGGTGGTGACTAGAGCCGTGGCTAAGCTCAACATCAACTGGCCACAGGAGGAGCAGACACCACAGGCTAGTGGTAAGCTTGATGAAAGGTTTCTTAAGCACCACGTGCCACCTCCACGCTAGTCTCTGCCATTCTTTCCTGATTTACATGATGAACTGAGTAAATCATGGGGCAGACCCTTCTCTACACGGCTCAGGGAAGAGGTCCTGAAGACCGGGGTAGGGGAGTCTTTTCTCCCCTACAGTTCAAAACCCGCCCTCCAAAATTCAACGGGGTGGTTTGGACTGTGGTCCGCCTGGAGCAAGGTCCGGTGTTGGGACACGAAGTTCTTACTCTGCTGAGGAAAGGGGCCGTGGAACGTGTTTCCCCCCCAGACAGAGACGCCGGGTTCTACAGCCGGTACTTCATAGTCCCCAAGAAGGACGGATCTGGTCGAATCGAATGGTTGGTTCTAACCGGTCTCTGAGGAGATTCAGGTTCAAGATGCTCACCATCCCCGCCATCGTGACGCACATCTAATCCGAGGATTGGTTCGTCACGATAGACCTAAAGGACGCCTATTTCCACGTCTCCATCCGTCCTTCTCACAGGAAGTTCCTGAGGTTCGCCTTCGGGGGTGTGGCTTACCAGTATCGGGTTCTTCCATTCGGCCTGGCAATTTCCCCTCACACATTCACCAAGTGTATGGATGCAGCACTGGCCCCGCTGAGGCTCCAGGGCATCCGGATTTTCAACTACATCAACGACTGGCTCATCCTAGCCCAGTCTCGAAAGTTGCCGGTTCGGCATTGAGATGTCGTTCTGGCTTATCTGTTGCGTTTAGGGCTAAGGCTCAACGCAAAGAAGAGTGTGCTGGCGCCCACCCAACGGACTACGTTCTTAGGGGTAGTATGGGATTCGACAACGATGCGGGCACAATTGTCTCCCGCACGTGTTGACACCATATTGGCTGCCGTGAAAGGGGTGAAGTTAGGCCACGCCATCACTATAAAACACTTTCAACGAGTGTTGGGTCTCCTGGCGGCTGCGACTCGGTCCAAGGTTCCCACTTGGGATCTGGTGGTGGTTCTTGGGGCATTGGCTGAGGCCCCCTTCGAACCCCTGGAGTCAGCTGAGGCTAAGCACTTGACCCTCAAGATGGCCTTTCTCCTTGTTATCACCTCTCTGAGGAGGGTGGGGGATCTCCAAGCGCTTTCGGTTCCCCGCAAAGCCTGGAGTTTGCCCGGGGAATATTAGGGCTATCCTGCACCCTCGTCCAGGATACATCCCTAAAGTGCCTTCTTGTGCAGCAGGGTCCACAGTGCTGCAGGCATTTCATTGCCTCTTTGCAGGATGTTTGTGTAGTGGCTGGCTGGACGACTCCGCACACATTCATTTGATTTTAAAGTCTTGACCTTCCTTCGGCACCTGGCACTCGTGCGCTCTCCTCTTAGTCGTGCCACTTTATTGCACACTGGGGCAGGCGGGGTTTTCGGCACGGTTTAGTAGGTATCTCGTTCCCGACGCAGTTCGAGATCCCTCGAAGGGGAACGTCTAGGGTTACGTATGTAACCCTGGTTCCCCGAGAAGGGGAACGAGACACTGCGTCGGCCCGCCGCACCTCTCTCCCCGCCTGAAGCGCCTGCTTCATAGTTTAAGCTAATGATGAGTGTGTACAGGTTTGCTTTATACTCCTCCGGTTATTCCGTCACACCTTACCGTTCTAGCAACAAACCAATAGGATTGGAGTGATTTCATTCACGTTCAGACCTGATTTCATTCACGTTCAGACCTGTTCCCATAGTGTCGTAACCGACGCAGTGTTGCGTTCCCCTTCTCGGGGAACCAGGGTTACATACGTAACCCGAGACGTTCTGACTGACTGGTAGGGACACTCAGCCATTTAACCTCTATGGGATCGTTAGCTAAGATCATTGATACCGCTGGTTCATTACTGCTCCTCGCTGTGGTAACGACTCTCGTCATAGTTAGAGCCACCCGTGGCCAAGTCTGAACGACCATCATTGGCAACTTTACCTGAGGCCAAGAGGGAATGCTTGTTCAGTTTCCTGGGAAGTGATGAAAGTGATGGTGTAGACCCCCTCTGTAGAATCCTCCGTTGTATTGGAAATAGGTTGTGTTTAGACAGAGATCAAATAATTTATTGATCTGGTCAGGGCTGAGGTTGGTTCTGCTGTCCAGGCTGTGGTCTTGAAGTAGCCGTT